TTTTTATTGATGGGTGACCAAAACATGATAAAATATAACGTTAGGTAATGATTTTAAAAAATAAAATAATTGAGTGACTAAAACGGAACCTCAAGAATAAGCAAATGAGTAAATATGAAGTTTATCGTAAAATTTAATCTGAGATTTCATGTTAATCTTAAAAAGTGTGGTAAAACTCATTTTCAAACGAGGGATATAATTTTATACTAATTTTAACGTTCATGTTGACCTTGCGGTCAACTTGGTTCATTCAATTATGTCTCTTCCTAAAGGAGTTGGTTCAAATGATAAACAATTTGATATCACTTAAATAAGGTATCGAGTTCGAGTCTATGTATATGCAAAAAATCCCTACTGGAATTCACCCACCAAAGCTAAATATATGACACGGGTCGATCCAAATTAATCAAGACGAAGCCTTGGAACTTAAAGACAACCAAAAAAATTATGTCTCGTCCTAAACTGGTAAATACATTGACTTGATTTATAAACCTTATAAACGTGAACTTTCATGCTTACTAATTACGGAGAGACTTGCATTGCTTAAATTTTCATTAACAATAAGTTTCAAGTTCAAATTTGAAGGAATTAGTGACCCTATTATGAATAAAAGAAGAAGGCTCCAATTTCACAGAAAGTAGAGATTAAGCATTGAATCCAGTTATGCCTTATTGTAGTACCATATGCATTTGCATTGGGGATTTCATACTGTAGTAATGATGACGAGGGTTGGACCGAGGAGCTGATGGAGATGGAGGCGGTCGTTCTTGAAGTTTTTAAATTTTTATATATATTTAAATATTTTATTTATATTTGATAATATATTTTTATATTATAGTAATAGTAAATATTTATAATATTATGGTATTAATTGGTTTCAATTTAAATGGTTCTTTATAACTATATAAGATATTCATATATATAAATATTTCTTCATATTTTTCATATGCGATATACATATATTATGTAAAATTGAGAGATCTGACTTGAATTTGAAAATCAATTTACTAACTATTAAAAATTTTCAGTTATTCAAATTATTTAAATCATATTTTATAAACCAAACTTTATTTGAAAAAATTTCAACTCAAATCAAGTTTATAAAATTACGAACTACAATTTGAATTAAATCAAGAAAATTTATTTTTTAAAATTATATCAAATTTATAAAATTACGAACCGTAAATCGAATCGAATCAAGAAAATTATTTTTTTCAAATCAAACCAAGTTTTATTTTCCAGAATCATAAGTGCAGTGTACAATTTTGATTTAGGGTGGAGAGCCAGTGAGGTTGAGAAGAATCGCCAGAAATATAAAAAAAATCCATTTATTGTGAAGAGAAATAAAGACAACAAAGGTGACATCAGTTAGTGTCGATTAAAACCAAAATAAATCTCATAATACAGTATGTAGGTTAAGTGTTGTCGGCAGGGATGAATGAAGGAGGGAGAGTAATCACTCTATTAAAAATTTAAAATTGTCATATATTTTAGATTTTTATTATATAATTTTATTAAAAATCTAGTTTCGTTCCCCTGAAATTTTAGTTCGTTCCTATAAATTTAAATTTGCTCCCGTAAACATAATTTCTTGCATTCGTCCCTAATTGTCGACTTCTAGTCTGCAGTTTGATCTATGTGAAATTTCTTCATATAATCTAAGTTTTGATTACAAAAGAATTGTGACAATAAATAAAGAACAATAAATATGGAGAGAGTGTTAGGTTCATGAAACTGAGCTGGGTTATTGTGGGTTCACATGGAAAAATACCGAGGAAGGAATGGAGACAGATTATGCAAGAGGTCCCTAAAAACAAAAGGCAGGCTTCAGCAAGGATCCCTTCATTAATTATTTTCCTCTTTGTACTTTCTTTTATGACCATAATGTCCCAGGCCAGATGGTATATTAACAACTCAACCCACAAACATTTGTGCTGTAAAAAGAGTGTTGTCGGTTGGCTCTCTAAGTTTGCTGGGTTAAATCTGGAATTAGATTATCAGAGAAGGATTTTGATGCATGTCCATTTGGTAGTATTGTAGTGACACTGACAAATGGACTTAAAGATTTAGCTTATCTTATGACTTGACACATTCATCCAACTGTATAGAGGAAAAACAAAACTTGGGTTCCTATTTATTCAAGTATATAATTTCCAGAAATTAAACGAAAATATTTGATAAAAATACATCAAAATATGTACAGTAGTACTTAATGAATATGTAAATTACATGTCACCTTTTCATGGTTTCAGTAAAAATACTGGAAAATGGCAGTGAATAAACTAGTAAAGTTATGGTAGATTCTGTAGGCGTGGGAAAAACTCACCAGCATTAAGCTTTTAATCTTCACTTAATAACAGTCCAAAGCTTCCATCATTTACTGTTGGGATACCATTTTTTCCTTTGTTTTCTCTATCTTTTTCCCCCTTCATTGTATTTGTTATAATGGCTGTGGACACTTGTAAGCAGTGTGAGCTGTGAGTTGAAAACTGCAATACCCATTTTTTTCTTCAATTTATAAATTTGAGGTCTGCTGAGGGCCTCAATTGTGAAATGGATTCTCTTCCTTCTTCATTTCACTCTCGTTAAACCATAAATCCTTCTTCTACTTCTTTATTATTTCTCATCCTCACCCTAGTTTTGAAGTGAAAAAGGCTGAATCTTGAGCTGTTTTTTTATCTAATCAAAACATGGAAGGAAGACCATTTTCATAGCTTTTAATTACATTCTGCTTAGCTCTGTGTTCGGGTTGTCAATTGGTTCAGGGAAGTGTTACTTATGATAGGAAAGCCATTGTGATCAATGGACAGAGGAGAATCCTCATTTCTGGTTCAATTCATTATCCCAGAAGCACCCCTGAGGTACTTCAAAAATTTATCTTTTTCTTCAAGATTTTTGAGCTTTTGGGGTATGGATTCCATTTTGAGAAACTTTTTTTTGGTAGATGTGGGAAGATCTTATACAGGAGGCTAAAGATGGAGCAATTGATGTGATTGAAACTTATGTATTTTGGAATGGTCACGAACCACTCCTGGGAATGTTATTCTTATTTCTTTCCCTCCATTTTCCGCCACAATATAAAAATAATATTTTGGCTTTCTAAGCTGCTTTCCTTTTTCTTGGAATTGAAATTGTTAAATATTTTATTGTTTTTTCTGTATAATTTTGAAGGAAGATATGACCTTTTGAGATTCATCAAGACAATACAGAGAGCAGGTCTTATGCTCATCTTCGCATTGGGCCTTATGTTTGTGCAGAGTGGAATTTTGGGTTAGATCTTAATCTCTAGATGCTTCATTTCTTATTTCTTTTCTTTGTTGTTTGAGCTAATTGGTCTAACATTTTTTTACCATGTCCAGAGGGTTTCCTGTATGGTTAAAATATGTACCAGGCATCAGCTTCAGAACAGACAATGAGCCTTTCAAGGTATATCACTTCTTCCTTTGATTTTACAGCATGACTAAAATTATTGGAAGGTAAATTAACAGTAATAGTTCAGGATATATTTTAACCGTTTGTTACTAGAAGCAAATAAAGAAGGATTGTTAATACATATAATTGCAGAGAGCTATGCAAGGTTTAACTGAGAAGATTGTGGGACTGATGACGAGTCATAACCTGAGTCCCAGGGTGGTCCCATTATTCTATCTTAGGTAAAATCTTTTCTCGTTTCCATTAAGATGTCGATTTATGCAACCATAGATTTCGCATCCGAGGTTCGGTTATGATGGTCATATGAGCCTCTAGTTTACTCTTTTTAATTTGTATGAACTCAGATTGAGAATGAGTATGGGGCACAGAGTAAATTACAAGGGGCTGTTGGCTACAATTATGTTTCTTGGGCAGCAAAAATGGCCATCGAGACCGGAACCGGAGTCCCTTGGGTGATGTGCAAGGAACAAGATGCCCCAGACCCAATAGTAAGTAATCCAATCAACATTTAGCATGTTAAGTCTCTTGCTCTATGATCTTAGTGTTCTAAGGAATTACTTACTGTGGACAAATATATGCAAAATCCAGTTTCATGTTTTCAAATTATATATTTTTTCACTTTTTTTGTGCCATAAATCTCAACGTTAATATACATAATAGGGATGCTAATAGAGCTTTATGTGTACTTTGATAGATAAACACATGCAATGGTTTCTACTGTGATTCATTCCAACCCAACAAACCCTACAAGCCAACAATGTGGACTGAGGCTTGAGTGGATGGTAAGTTCTTTTCTTTTACCTTCTTCGTGACCTTGGTTTGAAGAATCTTGTATATGGTTTGTGAGTCCAACCATTATATGCCTTTGTTTATGCATAAGGTTCTCCGAGTTTGGTGGTCCACTTCACCATCGTCCAGCTGAAGATTTGGAATTTGCTGTTGCTCGATTCATTCAAAAAGGAGGATATTTTGTTCACTATTACATGGTAAGTTCCTACTTTTTTCTCATTATCTTCACTTTTTTCAAAGGGTATACAGTTTTTACAGTGGAAACCTGATTCTTATTTACAATTTGAACCAGTACCATGAGGGGCCAATTTCGAACGTACGGCTGGAGGTCCTTTCATCACTACCAATTATGATTATGATGCTCCAATAGATGAATATGGTAAAAAAAAAGGCTAATTTTATTACTTCCGTGTAGGGGCGTAAACGAACCGAATCGAACTCGAGTATTGTTGAACTCGACTCGAATTCGAAAACTTTAAACTTAGGCTCAACTCGACTCGAAAACTCGCGAACTAAAAATTATGAAGCTCAACTCCAACTCGAAATATATTATTAAACTCGACTCGAACTCGAAAAGGCTCGAACTCAAAAAAAAAATTCAGGAGCTCGATTCAAGTTCGAACTCAAACTCGAATTTTAACCTACAAAAATCTTATATTACATTTAAAATATATAAATAATATTCCCTTTAATCAACCATCACTAATACATTATGAATGTATGAACTATAAAAAATCTTAAAAATAAAAATACAATTACAAGAAATTTATAAGCTTTGATGGCTAATTTTTCTGTCCAAAACAATTCCAGCTGCAAAATGGAGAAGTCAAAATCTAGCTCACGGTAGAAAAAAGAATCAAGTAAAAAAAAATTGCAAAAAAAAAATGTTATGTTCAACAAAACTTGAAACAATGAGCAAAACTAAATGTTTTCAATGTGAATAGTCATATTATAATGAAAGGTGCCTCTTGCTGCTGCCTCTTCTTTTCGTCTCACTTCCTGCATGGAATAAACTGATCAGCGAAAATTGTAGGGATCAAATGATTCATAGGGTGCCAAAGGGCAGAAAACAAATAATGTTCTTGCTATTTATTTATGAAACATATATGCATGAACAGAAATAAAATCTATGATTTCTGTTTGCTCAATAAATAAATTTGAGATCTCACAATGGTGAATGGACAGTAAAGATAAAAACAAACATCCTAAGCTACTCAACAGGGAAAGAGAATGACAAGAAGTTTCCTATATTTTCCTGTTAGTAGAAAGGACGATAAAGGATTTCACCATCAATGCTTACAAGCACTTGGAAGCAATAAAAAAGTAAACATGGACAAGAATCAAGCATTATCCAAGGAAAATAGTTCCAGCAGTGAATACAATCCTGAAAATGTAGGTAGATTCAGTGTCAGTTTCTGCTCTCTTCCTATAATTTGCAGAACCATCGTTCAGCCTAAGATCCATCCAACCTGTTTGAACTATTCGTTCACTAAGGAGGCCTTAGTGCAATTATTTTTTATCCTAGAGAAGCTCTTGACTCCCTTTGAAACTGTGATTGCAGAAGAGGCATGGAGACTTTTCTTTATACCTTACCTAGAGGCTACAACTTCAGTTATACATTAGCTTTTATTATGGTCTGAACACTGGAAGAAATAGGTTTCAATTGTTTCAAGCACAACTTTTAATCCCCATAAGTTTGGTGCACTACTTTAAAATCCATATCATAGGTCTGGACTCGGGATGCACTGTTTGACAATTTAAGTACATTAAAGTGTTCCTTGTAACTGATGAAAAAATTATGTTCTTCAGGCTGCTTGTGGGTTAACTAGCACCAGTGACAGTGTAACTATCAATTTACATCACATCCTTCTCATAAGTGTTGTAGAAGGAATTCAGTCGCTCCAAGCTCTAAGGTAGACTTTCTGACCATCAGCTTTAATGCCAATAATGCCTCAATCAAAGCAATAATTCAAACCATTAACCTCATATAAGGAAACTTTTACAGTAGCTTCTTACGATAAACACAAAGATAAAAGTTTTTCAAATTTTTCAGCAGGTCCTTGCTTTTGTTTTTCTTCTGAACAATCCTTTTGGATTCGAGGGTAAACGACAGGCATGATAAAAGACAGAAACAACAGCAATTCACCATGAAGATCACAACATGACACACGTAGAATGTACAGTTAAAATACTAATATGCTGCAACTTTTAAAGTAAGATAAAGTGGTCGGCAACTAAAGAACAATATAATCACCAAGGGTCACGGATATGGAGGTACACTGATACTAGGTCCTACCTCAAATGGTGATGATAAAGTAGCATTACTTTCTCCTCCTAGACATGAAACTATTTTCAAGATTCCAATTAGACCCATCTTTTTGTACTTCAGATCTGGATGACTGACCTGCCCAATTGAAGGTAATGCTATTTAAAACAACCACCATTCTAAGATCCTTGAGTCAAATCTACAGTACAAAAATTTTAGAGATAACGTCTAAAAATTGCACAAAAAGTCAATATTCAAAGCACTCTATGGTTAAGAGTCATGCTAGCATAACATACCTACTTCCGAACAATTATAAAAAGTTCATTTGCCATGGAAGAGCCCAAACAGTCAGCGTTAGAGCGAGCTAGTAGTGTCATATGGCTGAAGACCTCATAAACCTGCACTAGATAGTGTAAATGGAACTGGCACTTACAACTTTGTCCTTATAAAGCTTAGAGTGTAGAAAACAATGAAGCAGCATAAACCGAAGCATTGAAGGTTGCTCGGGAAACCTTGCATAGGAGTTAGTGGTTCGTTCATCGGTTCAGATTCTAAAATAAAAACGAAATAGAAACGAGATAGAGATCTATTTACCTTTGTTGTGTTTGGATCTTCACCGGTGTAGAGTAGAGAGAGAAACGGTGTAGAGGATTTCAAAACTTTCGGTTGAAGAAGAAAAGGAAAGGTTTGAGTGATACTTACCTTCACCATGTGCGTTATCGACGAGTTGTGGGATCTTGGTGTACAGCCGCTGTTTGTGTGAGTGGAGGCCATTGGGGCGGTGATCAAGCGTTGGTCATTGTTGCCGATGGTGCGAGTGGCGATGTGGTTAGCCTTTGAGGCTCTCGGTTGTGGGAAGAAGAAAAGAATAGAGGGAAGAGAGCAAAACGGCTGAAGAGGATAGTTTTAGTTCATATTAGGTTTAGTTTATAATTAGGTCTTTATATATTAAATGTAGGGTAAATAACTCTCATACCCCTAGACTTAGCCGTATATTTATACTTTAGTCACTGATAAGGATTTTTTTTTAATTTATCCATTTATATTTGTCCGGATTTTGTTATTTTCCCAATTTTAGTTTTAGTTGTAATTTTGTTATTTAAGTTGAAGTCCCTCTTATTTATGTGTGCTATTTATTTTAAACACTGTTTTAATTCTTGATTTGTGTGTTTATTTTTCACTTTATTTAAATTTAATCCTTAGTTAAATTTGTGAACCCTAAATATTAAACCTTAAACCCTATACCCTAAACACTAATCCCTAAAAACCTAAACTCTAAATCCTAAACTCTAAATCCTAAATCCTAAACTCTAAACTCTATCACATAATTAGAAGGAATGAGATGGCTTAATGAAAGGAGAGAGAGTAGACTTGTTTTTTTGCTTTCTGAATAACAAAAATCTAATAAAAAGCTCAAGTCTTTTTTATTTATGCTCATCTTCTCTTCTCAGTCTTCTCTTTATTTACTATTTTGATTTTCCAACTCTGCAATTATTATTCTTTCTTTTTTAGAGTAGAATCCAGTAATGCATATATATTTGTCTTGTTTTACTTTATATGGTACATGTTAGTAGTAGGGATGATCGTTTTCTCTCAAATATGATTTGATACCATTAATTTTGTTAATTAAGATATTAATGTAAGTCTAAATGAGTTTTTTCTCTCTTAATTCTTTATAAAATCAGTTACACTCTATTTTGATATGTTTTTTTAAATTATTAATATTTAAATTGAATCATATTTTCATTATATTATATTATATTTATTATCAAATAAAAAATTAGTTATGAGGTAAGTACAATATAGTATCTTGATATTAAATGCTCAAACCCTTGATATTTATGATGTTTGAACCCGAAACTTCAAATCATAACAACAATTTAAAAAATTAGTTATTAAAAATATTATCATTAGAAATATATTAAATATTTGCCATTAGATAAATATTTTTTTATCAATTTAAAATAAATATAAAAATATTTATTCAAAAATAATTTTTAACTATTTTCAATTTTCTATTGTTTGACTGTTTTTTCTTTGTTCTTTTATTTTATTTTTCTACATTGTCAAGTACATGTACGGTAAAAAGTTAAAAAGAAAGAAAAAAATCAATTAAACACGTGTAATCTAACATGTGCTTAATTAAATGGGCTTTTATTTTTCTTTTAGTAATATACAATGTAACAATTGGACTTGGGCTGGTTAATTAAAAAAATTAAAATTTGAGGTAGTTGTATTATAGAATTTTTATAATATTTTTAAAATATTATAATTATCAATAATGTATTTTTAATATATTTTTAATAATGTAAATTAAAAAAATCTAAAATTATAATATAACTTTTTTTCGAGCTGTTCACGAGCTTTTCGAGTCGAATATCGAGTAGCTCGTTTCGGCTCGTTAAGAGTTCGAGTCGAGTCGAGTCCATTCGATCTGAGTATTTATTGAGCCTTGATCGAGTCGATCTCGAGTAGCTCGCGATCTGTCTCGTCTCATTTACAACCCTGCTTCCATGTTGTTTATGTATTAAAATATAGAAGAATTTTTCACACCTTACTGTATTTATCTCAAATCAATAGCATTAAACTGAAAACAATATGAACTCGTATCCTCATTCGCTTATGCCTTCTCCTCTAACCTATAAAAGCTTATTTCCTTTGATTTTGGGTTACAAAAATGGGAAGATCATATCTGCTATCCCTTTACATGGTCCTCCCCGTTGCCTTACCTCTTATTCAAGCTAAAAATGACAGTTTGATTAGACAACCAAAATATGGTCATCTAAAGGAGCTCCACAGGGCTATTAAGATGTGTGACCGAGCTTTAGTTTCAGCAGATCCTATTATTACTTCACTAGGAGACTTCCAACAGGTTTCTGCTTATATTCTCAAAGTCCATAGTTATCCTTAATTGTTCACCAATTCTAGACATTGTTTGGAATTTTACAGGCTTATATGTACACAACGGAATCAGGAGATTGTGCAGCTTTTCTATCAAACTACGATACCAAATCTGCCGCCAGAGTGCTGTTTAACGACATGCATTATAACTTGCCTCCTTGGTCCATCAGCATCCTTCCCGATTGCAGGAATGTAGTATTTAATACTGCAAAGGTATTAATTTCGTGAAATAATTGAATTTTCATGATCAGTTTTAGGACTATGGGGACTGAAGCATACATTTTAGATTAATTAATAAAATGTTAGGATCTCTATGTAACTACTGCTCTTTTCTTCAGGTTGGAGTTCAGACATCACAAATGCAGATGCTACCGACGAACACGGAGATATTCTCTTGGGAAAGTTATGATGAAGATCCTTCTTCACTAGATAACAGGTCTGCAATTACTGCTGATGGGCTACTAGAGCAAATAAATATCACAAGGGATGCAAGTGATTACCTGTGGTACATTACTAGATGAGAGCAACGAACCCGGGGTTAGATTTGAAGAATATTTCTCTTTGTCCTCTCTCTCAATTTACTATAACTTGTTTCTTCTGCAATTATTTGTCTGTTTCCAAATGTCTTCGTCAATTTGGGAATGTCTAAAAAATTCATGTTATATGGTACAGTGTTGACATTGGTTCATCTGAATCCTTCCTTCGTGGAGGGGAACTCCCTACTCTCAGTGTTCAATCAACAGGCCATGCCGTACACGTCTTTATCAACAGACAACTTTCAGGTACCTAGTTACGTTGCCCTGGATTTTCCTTTTTTTTTTTCTTTTTCTTTTTTAGAAATAGAAGTCTTAGCATGGTGTTTAACAGGTTCTGCTTTTGGAACATGGCAAAATAGGAGATTCACATACACAGGGAAGGTCAATCTGCATGCCAGAACAAACAGAATTGCGCTGCTGAGTGTTGCCGTTGGATTACCAGTTAGTTCTTCAAACTATCAAAAGTTTGAAAACAATGACATGATTATTGTGTTTTGAGATGGGAAATGACATTTTTGTTTTGTTTTTCTAGGGACTGAAGAATATAGGGGGACACTTTAAGACATGGAATACAGTTATCCTAGGTCCAGTTGCAGTGAGTGGATTTGACCAAGGAAAATGGGACCTATCACGGCAAAAATGGACTTACCAGGTAGTGAAATGAACCTCTTCATTGTCTGTATTGTGATGCAAATATGTTCTCATGAATCCTTTTTCAACAGGTAGGACTAAAAGGAGAGGCCATGGATCTAGTCGCACCAAACAGTTTTTCCTCGGTTGAGTGGAGGCAAGGATCATTGGCTGCACAAAAACATCAGCCTTTAAGATGGCATAGGGCAAGGAAAAATGAACAGTACAAGTGGTTGCAGAATAAGGTGGGGATTCTTAAAAGTTCAATATGGCTCCCTTTCAATGTTGTAGGCTTATTTTGATGCCCCGAGGGTAATGAGCCATTGGCTTTGGACATGGGGAGTATGGGAAAAGGTCAAATCTGGATTAATGGGCAGAGCATTGGTAGATATTGGAATGCGTATGCTCACGGTGACTGCAATGGCTGTAATTATGCGGGAACGTTTTGAACACCCAAGTGTCAGCTTGGTTGTGGAAAACCAACCCAAAGATGGTAATCATTTTTTGGACCGAAGATATGCAAAAACTTTTCAAGCGTGCGTTATACTTAATTTTTCTTTCTCAGGTACCATGTTCCTCTGTCTTGGTTGAAACCTACACAGAATCTGTTAGTTCTGTTTGAGGAGCTAGGAGGAGATCCCACAAGAATCTCACTTTTACAAAGATCTGTGTCCAGCTTTTGTGCCGATGTCTCTGAATATCACCCTAATATTAAGAAGTGGCAGATCGAAAGCTACTGAAAGCTACAAGAGTTCCACAGACCAAAGATTCACTTGTGGTGTAGTCCCAGACAATATATTTCTTCCATTAAATTTGCAAGCTTTGGAACTCCTTTAAGAACTTGTGGAAGTTATCAGGAAGGCCCTTGCCATGCTCCTGCTTCGTATGTCATCCTAGAGAAGGTATTCTAACTTTCTTTGTCCGACAGATAAACTAAAACTTGCATCTATGTATATTTCTCACTATGTTGTCATGTTTTATGTTTAGCAGAAGTGTGTAGGGAAGCAAAGATGTGTTGTCACCATAGCCAACAGTAAGTTCGAGCAAGATCCATGCCCGAATGTGTTGAAGCGGTTGTCTGTCAAAGCTATCTGTGCTCCGATGTCTTCTACAACAGCACAGCCAAACTGGGGCGGCTGATTAGATTAAAAACAACTCACAGAACAACTCCAGAAGGCTCGCATCTAGTAATTTAACTATACACCATCAGCACTCGATGAAAGCAGCAAAGACAAAAAAATAAGAATAAAAAAGAGAGCAAAGAATAGGCGTTTAGTTTAGGTGCCACAGCATTTCCAAATGGAGTCCTCCGGCAAAAGTTATTCATTGTTCAGTGTTATAGGGAATGAGTCATTTTAATTTTAAAGTTACTGTAAATTAGTGATTATGAGATAGGTGAGTTTCTAAGTTCTTGGGATCCTTAAATTTAGGTCCTACGGGTGAATTTTCTGGTGTGTGCCACCAGACTTTTAAGCGGATATATCGGCACCGGAGAAATAGACGCTTAGTTGTACTTGGTGTGATATCTGTTTGTATCGGTGGGGGAAAATTGAACCCATATTAGGTTCATGTTGGGAGCGGTTCCTAGTATGACCATTGTTTTATGTGCAGTTCTTTGCATTGTAATTTCCAAGCTATAATTCATCAAAGGTAATTGTGGTATAATTTATTTTCCATCAGATGACGAGATAATTTATCTCCTGACACCCTACAAGTATCAAATAATTTATGAGGCTAAAGTTTCAAATGACATAACCAAAATCACATCAACCATGAAAGCAAGCTTTGATTATGAATCATACTAGTTAAGGATATAAAAATACCTCAAATGATATAGAAACAAACATAGGGTTCAACTTAGAGATGTGAAGATTAATACCAGCACATAAAAGATGCTTGTCTGTGATAATAAGTTCCTCAAAACATGACAAACGTAGTACTAATAATCACCTCCCATCAAGCAGAAGCAAAAGCAGGAGTCATATGTTTAGTCACAGCCTGCTGAAGCTCTTCTTTCTTAGCACCAACCACTCTGCCAGCTTCCTTTCCTTCCTTGATGAACAAGAAACTTGGCATTGCCTCCACACCCCATTCAGCAGCAACTTCCTGAAAACAAAAGAAAAAACCATCAGTTCGATCGAAATTTTCATTTCTCGATTCGTTCGGACATGGCATATATGTGTCGTAACCGGTTTTCGTCCGGGCACGAATTTTTTACTTGGCGGGAAAAGTGATGTGAATAAATGGTTTTTAAAATAATTTGGGAGTCGCCATCGGCCTTTTGGGTCAAATAGGTCGAATACCTAAAAATCATCCTTTAAAAGAGTTTTTAAGAAAACATCGATTAAAAGATAAACTGATATGCGTTTTTTTTAATAATAAAAAGGGATTCGTGGTCGGTTACGTTTAGGGAAGGATTAGCACCCCTACAACGCCAAAAAATTGGTACTTTTTAATTAGAAATTGTCTCTATTATTAGAAATTCAAAATTCAAAATATATATAATTTATAATCCTATTATTTTAAGATTATAATTATGAAAAATATATATTAATTTATATATATTTATAAATAAAATATTTATTTATTTAGAAATATCAAAAAAGACTTCTAGGTGCCTTAAGACAACTCTTTTCTTTGATATTAAAAAAATAAATAAATAATTAAAACAATTAATACATAATTTATAAAATAAGATATTTATTTATTTAAAAATATCAGAAAATGGACATCCAGTTATTTTAAGACTGCCCTTTCTTAATATTGGAAAATAAATAAATATTAAAATAGGATTAAAATAAGTTAAAAATAATTAACTAAGATTTTAATAAATAAAATACATATTATTTATTATACAAATATATATATTTATGGTTTAATAATAATAATAATAATAGTAATAATTAACATATAACTAAACAATGAACAAAATTAAAACTATATATTTAAAATAAATAAAAATTGAAATTAGTGACTAAATTGTAACTTAATAGAATTAAATACCTAATTCATAATTAATTATTTAAAATTTGAGTGACTAAACATGCTATTCCCCTTATTTATTAATTTAGTGACTAAACTAAAATTATATAAAATTCATATATCAAATTAAAATAAATTGAAATATGTTGTTCGGGGTTTAAAATATCAATTATTAAAATTAAAGGACTAAATATGTTATTTATCCTAAATATATTATTTAATATAAAGGACTAAAATAAATAAAATTAAAATTAAAGAACAGAATTAAAAGTATTATAAATTGATTTAGTGACTAAAATGTAAGGATTACAATTTAGGATGACTGCGGAAAGGGTTTAACTTTTAATTAATTACAGACAGACCCCTCCCCAAAACGACGTCGTTTGGGGAGGGTTATTTAAGTCCCTAACCGGCTGGCCCGAAGGCCAGCTCTCATTTCTCACTTTCACTCTCTCTCTCTTCTCTAAGAGAGTTTAAAACTCTCTCGCTTCTCTCTAAAACAGAGAGAATGGCACTGGCCGACAGTCGTTCGTCGGCGTTAACCCCGCCGCCGGCCACCGAGACGTGGCCGGGAAATTTTTTTTACACTAAAATACAGCCCTAATTTCCCCAAGGTCGATTCCGACCTTTGTTTCCCCAAAAAGACTTTTAATCGGAGTAGATCTATGAAAATACCTTCGTATTTTCTGTTCTCCGGCGATGTTTAGTGCTTCCGGCGATGGTCAAGGCTCCAAGTGTAAGTTTCTTTCTTCTTTCTTTGTTTTCTGTTTTTGTTTTTTTTGTTGCTCTCTGTTGGTTGCCTCTGTTCTTCTTTGCAGGTTCGGTGGTGGTTTTATAGGCCACCACGGAGCTTGCTTCGGACTGGTCCCAAGGGTGGAGTTCGGTGAGTCACCAAACCGTAGGTGGTGACTCACCCCATGGTTGAAACGTGGACGACGTTCCTTGCTTCCTCTGAATGTTTTTGTTGAAGCGTGGCAACGGTTGATGGAGGTGTCAGAGAGGCGGCCGGCGTCATGGCCCTAGGGTATCATAACCCTAGGGTTTGCTGTTGGTATCATCTGGATGCGTATGGACCGTTGGATCATGCCAAATCCAACAGTGGATAGATGATGGCGGTTAGGGCTGAGATACAAACCCTAAATGGGTTTAGGGTTACACATTTGGGTCTTAGGTCTGGGCCACCGTATTTGGGTCACTGTTGGGCTTTATGTTTTGATGTATTTGGGCCTGTCTGGGTTGGGCTGGACTTGGCCTGTTTGTAATAATAATTTTAATAATAATAAAAATAATAATAATAATAATATATAAAATAATAATAATAATAATAATAATATAAAATGGAGAAAAAATAGTATCTTCAGCTGTCCCTCTTTGCTCATTCTCGTGTTAACAAGAATAGAGCAAAGACGAAAAGATAATAATATTTTTTTATCCATTTGAATTCACTTAATTAATATGGAGATGTTGAATAAATTCTTCTCTTTCTTCAGATAAGTTCTTCTCATTATGAACTTTCCGCTGGGGATGATAATATCTCCTTCTGTGATGTAATTTGGAAAAGGGTTGAACAAGTTCTTCTTATTATAAAATTCTTCTTCCTTCTTTAGATGAGTTCTTCTTATTATGAACTTTCCCTGGAAAAGTTGATGTTGACCTATTTCCTTCTGTGATAGAGTCATTCAAAAAGTTGAATAAGTTCTTGTCATTATGAACTTCTTCTTTCTTCTTCAAATGAGTTCTTCTTATTATGAACTTTCTCTGGAAAGTTGATGCTGATCTATCTCCTTCTGTGATAGAATTATACAAAAGGTTGAACAAGCTCTTCTCCTTGTGAACTTCTTCTTTTTCAGATGAGTTCTTCTCATTATGAACTTTTTCTAGAAAAGCTGATGCTAATCTATCTCCTTCTGTGATAGAATTATGCAAAAGGTTGAACAAATTCTTCTCATTATGAATTTCTTCTTCTTCAGATGATGAGTTCTTCTCATTATGAACTCTACCTGGCAATGTTGATCCATCAAATGATGAATTCAAACAAAAGGTTGAACAAATTCTTCTCATTATGAACTTCTTCTTCCTTCTTCAGATGAGTTCTTCTCATTATGAACTTTCTTTGGAAAAGCTGATGCTGATCTATCTCCTTCTGTGATAGAATTATGCAAAAGGTTGAACAAATTCTTCTCATTATGAATTTCTTCTTCTTCTTCAGATAAGTTCTTCTCATTATGAACTTTCTGAAAAGTTGATCCATCGAATGATGAATTCAAAAAAAATTTGAACAAATTCTTCTCATTATGAATTTCTTCTTCCTCTTCAGATAAGTTCTTCTCATTATGAACTTTATGGAAAAGTTGATCCATCGAATGATGAATTCAAACAAAAAGTTGAACAAATTCTTCTCATTATGAATTTCTTCTTCTTCAGATGACGAGTTCTTCTCATTATGAACTCTACCTGGTAATGTTGATCCATCAAATGATGAATTCAAACAAAAGGTCGAACAAATTCTTCTCATTATGAACTTTTTCTTCCTTCTTCAGATGAGTTCTTCTCATTATGAACTTTCTCTGGAAAAGTTGATCCATAAGTGATGGATTTGAGCAAAAGGTTGAACAAATTCTTCTCATTATGAATTTCTTCGTCTTCAGATGACAAGTTCTTCTCATTATAAACTCTACCTGGCAATATTGATCCATCAAATGATGAATTCAAACAAAAGGTTGAACAAATTCTTCTCATTATGAACTTCTTCTTCCTTCTTCAGATGAGTTCTTCTCATTATGAACTTTAACTGGCACTGTTGATCCATTGAATGATGGATTTAAATCTTTGCTAAAATCTTTGAAATTCCTGTCAAAATTCAACATGGATAAAATGAATGAAAATGCAACAAGTTCTTTTTTCTTCAGATGCCTAATATCAACATGCATTGAGCCGCCCATTCAGGTTTTCAACTCAAATCCTTCTTTGGTTACAAGATGCCCTTTGCGGGTTTTCATCTTGACCCCTTTTTTTCTCTTTTTCTTCTCTCTCTTTTTTCTTCTTTTTTCTTTTTCTTCTTTTTTTTTCTTTTCTTCTTTTCATTTTTTCTTCAAGCATAATATTCTTGACAGAATCCGAGTTTATTGGATTTCTCAGAATTTTTCCATCTATTTCTGCCAAGATCAACGCTCCTCCGGAAAAGGCCTTTTTTACAACGTATGGCCCTTCCTAATTAGGCATCCATTTCCCATGAAAATCTTTATGTATAGGCAAGATCTTTTTTAGTACTAGATCACCCTCTTGAAATTCTCTTGGATGTACTTTCTTGTCATGAGACTTTATCATCCGTTTCTGATACATCTGTCCATGGCAAATAGCTTTCAATCTTTTCTCCTCAATAAGGTTCAATTGATCAAATCTAGCTTGGATCCATTCAGATTCATCCAATTTTGTTTTCTCAAAATTCGAAGCGATGGAATCTCAACTTCAATTGGTAAGACTGCTTCCATCCCGTAGACTAAAGAAAAAGGCGTTGCCCCAGTAGATGTTCGAACAGTAGTTCGGTATGCATATAAAGCAAAAGGTAACTTCTCGTACCAATCTTTGTAAGTTTCAGTGGCCTTTGTAATGATTCCTCTTGATGTTCTTATTTGCTGCTTCAACTGCCCCATTCATCTTTGGACGATATGCCACTGAGTTTGCATGTTTGATCTTAAATTGTGCACAAAGTTCAATCATCATCTTGTTGTTCAGGTTCAGAGCATTATCTGTAATGATCCTTTCTAGTAGACCATACCGACAAATTATTTATTTCTTTATGAATTTGCAGACTGTGGACCTCTTAATATTGGCATATGAAGCAGCTTCAACCCACTTGGTAAAATAATCAATTGCCACAAGGATGAAACAATGTCCATTCGATGCTTTTGGTGTGATTGCCCCAATGACGTCTATTCCCCACATAGAAAATGGCCAGGGTGCTGTCATTACATGTAAAGGAGATGGGGGTACATGAATCTTATTTGCATATATCTGGCATTTATGGCATTTCCTTGCATAATCAATGCAATCTGTGTGCATGGTAGCCCAATAGTATCCATATCTCATTATTTTTCTAGCCATGGAAAGACCATTTGCATGTG